TGGAGCCTTAGGAGTGAAGGGCTCCCGGTGTCTCCTGCGTGGGGGGGCCGGAGGGGAGAGATTCTCCTGGCCTGACTTTGGGAAACTCCACAGTTCTGGGCCTCCAGCTCCCCTCCTCCCAGAGCCACCACTAGAAAGCCTGCAGGAAGTCTGGCCGGCTTTTACTCAGGATGGTTTGGTGGGGCCTGCGGTGTGGTGGTTAAAGTGTGGCTGGCAGGGGGAGAGCAGACACTCTGACCCTGCTCCCAGACTCCCTGCCAGATCTGCCCCTGAAAGAGCAGGAGCTGCTGGGAGGCTGCCCCACCAGGCAGACAGCAGCCAGAATGGCCGGGCCGCTAAGTGAAGCAAAGTCCCAACAGAGAGTGCCCTGGGGCACCAGCACTGGCGGGAAGGACAGGATCCAGGAGCCGCTTCCTGCCCGGGTAGGATCAGCTTCCTTTCTGGGTCTGAGGCAACTGTTGAGCGGAACCCTGTGTTACCTGTGAGCAGGAACGGGTCAGGCAGTCCCCGGGACTCCTGCTCTCTGTGGCCACATGGGTTGGCCAGGCGCTCAGCAGCTGGTCCCTGGATCACCCTCGGCTGGAGAGAGGATGGAGGGATGTTGCCTGGAGCCACTTGTGACCTCCCAAGACGTCCCACTGTGCCATGAGGTCTGTGGAGTTCTTTGGGAGCAGGGCTTTGGCGGCCAAAGCATCCTTCAGGCAGACACAGGGCAACAGCCAAGAGTTCAGTGAGCTTGGGCTGCTGCTAGGTGAGACTCGGAGAACTAAGTCAGGATGCCAGAATTCTGGGCAGTACTCTGCTGTTCAATGCTCCTTCACCTTCTATGCTGTCAGTAAACAGTCACTGAGCAGCTAGTATGTCCCAGGGACTGGACATGCTGCTGAGAACAAGGCACCATCCGTGCCTCACAGGCGTTTGGGAAGATCAAATGAAACAGAGGATGGGAAGTGGCAATGTAAAACAGCAGGTGCTGCACAGGTGTCCTCGGCAGCAGAGCACGCGGGTAGAGGGCAGAGCGACTCTCTGCTCCACTCTGGGCTGGAACAGAGAGATCTCAGGGACTGCCCAATACAAAGCAGCGAGGGCTCCAGCACAATGCCCAGAGTAGGCAGCAGAGGGCAGCAAGGGGCCTGCCTGCCTGGAAAGCTGCCTGATGGCTGGGCAGAGGTGAGGGACAGGGGAGACAGCACTGGGGAGGGTGGGCAACGCGGGGTCTGGGATCAGCCCTCTCTTGGTGGGGTATGCAGGTGGCGCCTCCCTTCCAGTCCAGTGGAGGCTCAGGTGACAGGTGCTCAGCCTTCTGCACCAAGGGGCTTGGCCTTGCCCATCAGTAAGATTGGGCGCACTTCCGCCTGTCCCCGCCCTGACCCCTCCCATGTGCCGTGGCCCTGGTGTGGGGGAGTGGTTGCTCTGAGAAGGGGCCTGTGGCCATTTTTTTGTGTGTGAGACAAGTTGTGTGGTGCTGGTCTGAGTGGATTTAAGCCATCTGCCGCCCCTGGACAGCCCTGAACTCCAGCCTGGTCCACTCTCCTCCTCCAACTTAGTATCAGAACTTGGCTGCCTTTCTTCTTGGAGGGCAGGGGAATGTAACTATGATGAGCATCTCCCAGCCTGAGCTTCCCACACTGGCAAGGTGGGTGAGACCCCCAAGGCCCAGGAAACCCAGGACTTCCTGCTCATGCAGGAGGCCCCATTCCTGGTTAACCAGCTTGTATCCCACCACATCCTCAAAAGAGAGAGCTTGTGGAGAAGAGTGGCTGCCAGGGGACTGGAGGGGGAGGTCTGGGGAGACTTGAGAGACAGCATGGGCTGCGAACACCAGGGCTGCAGGAGGCTGCTTCCCTCAGGGTCCCAGTGGTGGCCTTCTGGCTGGGCCCAGCCTTGCCAGCAGCTGCAGTAATAAAAGTGGGTGAAGGTGAAAGCAAGAGCCTGGCTTCCCAGGTAGATGCTACGTGACTCCTGGCACGTTGAGAGTATGTGTTTCCTGGGCGACAAGCTGAGCCAGAGACAAGGAAAGGACAGAAGTGTGACAGGAATGCAGGGGAGGGAGGAAGTAGTGTCATTGGCTGGCCAGCCCCTCACATAGCACTTCTGTACTCTGCCAGCACCCTGGGCCTGCATGGCGCAGATCCCCAACCCTGGTGGGGGAACCCTGTTTCTCCTTGCTCTTGCTTGGCCAGTGTAGGGGGAGCCCCTGAGGAGACTGGCCCCTCCCCCACCCACTAGAAGCAAGAGGTGGCCAAGTCCTATGTGGGCAGGCTGGTACCGGGGAGGCCAGGACCCAGTCCTTGCCCAGGGTGTGCCAAAGCACTGGTGACAGGGAACTGTTGAGTGTGTCTGGTTGGGGGCCTCCAGTTCTTTCTCCAGGGCAGCATTTGGCCCAGGGTGGGGCTGTAAGCTGCCTTCTCTGGGTGGTCAGAGCCTGACTTTTTTCAGTTCCAGGGGACTGTGGCTGTGGACTCCTGGAGCAGAGAGGGAGTCCCCAGATGCTGCTGCAGGGACTGGCACGGGGAGCTGCCAGGGGTTACCTTCTGGGAGTCTTCGTTCTGACCAGAAGCTGCATACATTGTACTGGGAACACTTTGTTCTGTCACACCCCCTCTCCTGTTACCCCTAGGCCATCTGTTTTCTGGAATGAATGACTAGAAGAGCAACAGGCTAAGTCTCCAGAACCTGCAGGCAGGTTTATGAGGGGGAAGATCTCAGGGATCCAGAGAGGCAAGCTGGGGGAGATATTCCCCACTTCTCTGACCACCCCCACCCCGCTGGGCAGTGCCCCACCCAGAGCTCTGGGAACCCAGGGACGCTCTTCTTTCTTGATACTATCTGGCTGGCACTGAGGGGGCCGGGGGTCAGGCCGACACTGTGGCTTCTGCTTCATCACCTCACTCTTGGCTGGTGGTACTTGGTGCAGGCCACTGCACAGTGCTGAGGTGGCCCCTACGTGGGCACCCCTCAAGCAGGTCAGGGCCAGCAGACTACATACACCCTGAAAGCTCTAGCTGTGACCTGGGCAGGTGCTGGAGCCCTGAGACAGGCTGAACTGCCATCAGGGCTAAGGGTGCCTGATGGTCAGGTCTCCTGGATTCAGGGTGGCCTCTGGTGGGTGGGGCCTGAGCTCCAAGGCTGCTGGGTGTGGAGTGATCGGGGTGGGCCATGGTTGGAGGCAGCCTGGGGGCAGCAACGCAGCGGGAGCCAGGCAGCCGGGCTGGGCTGGCAGCTGATGAAGGCCTCAGCGCAGTTCTCAGTGCATCACTGGCTGGTCCAACACCAAAACCTTCAAAGCATTTGCCTTTCTGGCAGGGGCTGGGGCAGAGCTGCGGCTGGGCTGGGAGAGGCCTCGGCGCAGGGGAATAGAAGCTCCAGATCTGCATCCAGGGGCGATTTTCCCAGGCTCCTTCCTCCCACACAGCGGCTCCCTCCCTTGGTTCTGGAGCTGGATCGGGCCCTTCCCGCCAAGTCCTCGTGGCTACACAACTCAGCCCCAGGCTGGGCTGCTCCCGTCTGGGGAGCAAAAACCAGGGCAGAACCCAGGACAGACAAAGGCTCATTAGCTGCAGCCCAAGTCCCCTCCCACCAAGGACCGCTCTCAGTCTACCGGCTGCCAGAAAAGGGCTATTGAGCTGGAGGCCTGAAAAGGCCACACTTTTATGTGAGCCTGGGCAGGTCTCATCCACCTCAGAGAGAAGCTGCTGGGCCTGGAGCAAAATTTTGCAAGACAGGTGAAGCGCAAGAGGACGGCAGGCCACCAGCAAGCCTGAGTGCAGGGAGAGAGGAGCCTGGCGTCTCCCCGGCCTAGCCCCAGCCCTGCTCCACCTGTGCATGGGTGACCCAGCTTCCTCCCCCATGCAACCTGTCACTGGACTTGCTGACAGGAATAAAATGGACTGCTTTGAGTTCCACCTCTTTTCATTTCCTTCGGCCTCCCTCTAGAAGTGGCTTTAATGAGCAGTGAAATGGCTCAAAGGCAATCAGGAGGAGTAAAGCACCGGGATAATTAAATTGTCTTCCCCTTTCCCATGAAACCTTAATGCTCAGGCCAGGCTGCCTGGAGCTGGGGTTTCCACACCCCCAGCCGGGCTCTGCCTCCACGATGCCCAGGCCTTGCCCTCTGCTGCCTCTTCCCCACCCCCCAGGGTCCTGGAGTGTCCAGATGGAGAGGGGCAATGCCCTGGTGGTGCTGCGCAGCCTGCTCTGGCCCGGCCTCACCTTCTACCACGCTCCTCGCACCAAGAACTATGGCTACATCTACGTGGGCACCGGCGAGAAGAACCTAGACCTGCCCTTCATGTTGTAGGCGGGCCGCCCGGAGGGTGTGCAGAGTCTGAATAGTATTTTCATAAAGGCGGTGAATCTGGTCGGTCTGTTCTGTGCTGCTCCCCCCACCTCCACCTCCATCTGGTGTCCAGGCTGAGGAGAGGCCCAGCTCTAAATAGAGCAAGTGGCAGAGGGCTGGAATGTGCTAACGAGAGAGGATGGTGGGAGGAGACGGCACGGGGGAGAAGGTGATGGCCAGGCCTCTGAGGAGGGCAGCTTCCTGGACTTGGAAGCGCTGCACGCAGGCCGGGCAGCCGAACAAAGAGCCAGCCGCTGTCAACAGAGAGGAAGGGAGCCTGTGCGGCCGTGAGCTCCGCGTGGTGCCCCACGTGGCCCACCACCCCAGAACAGCAACTCAATGCGCAGTGACTGGCTGGAAACAGGCTGAGCCCCCCGCGCTTCCCCAGCAGTGAGCACACACCCAGCGGGTGAGCACAAGCCTGGTTTATCATAGCCCTTGGGATAGAGGGCCGGTGCCCCAGCCCTGAGCCCCGGCCAGTCGTGAGACCACCGCAGCTGCGCAGGGTCAGACACCACAGCTGTCTGCCCCCAGCTCCCAGCACCACAGTGGTGCGGGTCCCAGGCGCTGCAGAGGCCCTGCCGCCCCCCGGGCGATCTGCCCGGGAGGAGCCGGGCTGCCCTGCAGGATGAGCCCAGGTCTCAGGAGGCCCTGCGCTCCATCAGTGATACAGCACCAGAGGCCTGCCCGTGTAGGAAACGTTGTCCTTCAGGAGGGGGGACCCCACGGCCATGCGCACCTTGTTCCAGCGGCGGCCCTTGTTGTAGATGGGCTTGACGGAGCGGGGAGACCAGCGGGTCAGGTACCTGTGGAGGGAGGGTGGGAGGCGGCCATGAGGGCTGGCAGCCCAGGGTGCGGCAGAGACCACGGGCGTGGGCCTCTCGGGCCGAAGCTGCACTTGGTCAACCAAACACTTTCACCAGTTTTCCTTTCTTGAGGAGAAGGGGCTTTTCCTGGGAGCAACTGCCCAGCGTGCTGTAAACAGATGGGCTGGGCTCTGGCAGCCGCAGGCGTGTGTGGCCACGTGCTCCCTTGTCTTTATGAGTTGCCAGTGTGTGTGCGTGTGTATCTGCTGGGGGAGGAGGCAGAGGAAGAGGCTACTCAGAGAGCAGATCGGCCCTCTCTGGCCCAGTCGTGGGGAGAGGAGAGGCTGATGTAAGGGCCTGGAGGAATCCCTCCCTCTCCCCGACTTGGCTCACTCCGCCACCCCAGCCCTCAGGGGACAAGCCTGGGCAGCCATAACTGGCGGAGGACCCCTGACCCCTGACCCTCAAGCAGGCCATGACTGGAGCTCAGGGTGAGGGCCCATGGGTGCAGACGTAGCCCAGGAAGGTTCGTGTAATACGAGCAGGGATGGGGAAAGATGGCTGCCGCCCATAGTCCTTTGGCCTCCTTTGGGGACGGCAGGGCCCTGACAGTTCCGAGAAGAGTGGCTCATGCCGGCTAGGACTGGGGTTTACTCTGTTCAGAACGAAATTTGGACCCTATCCAGAGGCCCACCCTTCATCCTGAAAGCTCAGCCTCGGCAAAGGCCAGGATCCTCCCCTGCTTCCACACTAGGTTAGGGCTCAACCCAGTGCCTCTAGAGACCCTCCCATGAGAAGTTTTAATTTAAAAAATCAATAACCATGGCTGAAAATTTTTAGAGAACAGTGAAAAAGTGACTGCTAATGTATACATTTCAACTGAGCTCCCCTGGACCTCTATCTTCTGAGTTCTGAGAGGAAGTAAAAGCTGGAGGACTACACGCCATGTGCGAGCTGGGCAGGCAAGAGGGCTTCCAACGACCACTGGGTGGCTGTCAGCCCCCCAGCAGGGAGGTCTCTGTGCAGTGAGCTGGCCCCAGAGCCGCCTTTGCTATGGCTGGTGGTGCTGGGACCTGGCAGGGCCCTGTGCGGGTGTCTCCCTGGCTTCAGAGGGGGTGGGTGAAGAGGTGGGATGTGGAAGCAGGCTGCTTGGGATTGAAGATCCCGAGGCACACCAGGGTCTCCAGAATCGCTGCCTTGTTGCACCCCTCCACCCACCCTCGTCCCTCCCACCCTGGAGAGGCCCTGGGAAATTGGGCTTCGGCTGGCCCTGGGCCTGATGCCTGTGCCACAAGGAGCAGGCAGCTGCTGTGGAGGGGCTGCGGCCTCCGGCCAGCTCTCTGGGGCCACTCCAGCTCTAAGAACCAAAGCTCCCTGCTAATCGAACTCCTTCCCCTACCTCTCTGGAAGGGGCACTGAAGGAGATGGCACGGCTCCTCAGGGCCCAGCAGAGGCAGGGCCAGTGCACGGGCCTGGGCAGCTCAAGGGCCGCTGGATGACACTGTCAAGTCCCTAGTTGTAGCCAGGACTCCCTCTCCTCCCCAGGAGGGCCTCTTGCAACCCCACGAACCCCCACACGCCATCAGTCCTGCGTCACGTTAATGGACACTGGATATATGGGAGGGAGCCTGTCTTTGCTTCAGAGGGCTGAGGGCAGGATGGATTGTGTCCTCAGGCCTGCTGCTGTTTCTTAACAAGTTGGAGTGGGGGTGGGCTCAACTCCCAAATGGTCTGCAGCAAATTTGGGGAAGACAAGAGGAGGTTAATATGTCCTGTTCCCCCAGGGCTGCTGGCAGATGGCCCAGCTGGCAGCGTGGGAGGTGCAGGTGGGAGATGGGAAGGGGCCAGGGTGCTGGCAAGGAGTCAGTGAAGACCCACCTCTGGCCCTGCACCCCAAGCCCAGCAATCTAGAGCTGGTATCTGCCTGGCCTTCCATCCTCCATTCCTGGGTTCTGTTAGGGATCAGCCTAGGAGGCTTTGCTGGGGGTGGGGGATCTTGCTTTGCTCTACCCAAAGAGCACAGTTCTAGTGGCATTAGGACATGCTGAAGGAGGGAGGGGCGTTGATAGGAGAACAAGAAACACCAACATCTTTTACAGACCTGGATCTACTCTCAATAAGAGAGTACTGTAGTTCTAGGAGTATATAGTGTGGTAATGTCAGAGACAGCTGTTTGAGTGTTAGACAGGAACCTGTTCCTACACCAGGGGGGGCCACCTTGCTCAGGCTGAAAGGCAGATTGATTGATTCTAGGATCTAAAGGCCTTTCTCTCCTCTTCCATAAAACCTCAGGATCTCATGGGATGCCATATGCAACTGAGCAGGTTGTTAACTGCACAACTCTAGGGAGAACATTCACAATCTAGTCTACAAGGATGCTGCCTTCAAGTTTTGCAGTATATGATCTGACAGCTCTATACGGTGGCCCTACCCTGGACAGCCCTCCCATTTCTATTTCTAAAGTCTCATTTTGCCCTTTAATAACCCCAGTGCTATTACTGAAAGTTTGTAGAACTGCTCTGACATTCCCATAGCAACCCAGTATGATGTCATAAACAGAGGATTAGCACATTCTAATGCCCAACCAGCAGATCTTCTTACCCTTGTTACCCCTGGGCTAAGTGCCCTGCTGGGGAGGGACAAGGAAGGAAGCTGAGGCTGGCAGGGGGAGAGTAACAGAGGCATGCACAGTGGTGGGACTGATGGGGTGGTGGGGTGGCGTTCAGGCTGGAAGGGACAGAGCGCTCCAGCTTTCCTGAGCTGCATGATGAGCTCCAGGAGCTGGTCTCCCCAGCCCAGGTCTGTGTACCTGTTGAGTCGGGGTCTGGTCTTTGGAACAAATCCTTCAGGAAGCTTGGGCCTGTGATTTGGGAGCAGACCTGAATGGAGGGAAAAGCATTTAAGAGGATGGTCTCTGCACTCCCTCTGCAGCTCTGGGGGACTGAACAGAAAGCCCAAGGTGTGTGTGTGGGGGGGGGGGGGGAGGCTGGCACTGGGGTGTGAGTATAATGAAGTCTCTGGACACACACTGCTCTTTCAGGAGGGGCTAGAAGATGTGGAAGGTGTAATGGTGCCCACAGCCCCTGCCCCCTCAGCCCGAGGGCCCTTTACCTGCTCGGTGGGCCATCTTCACACACTCCTCAATCTTGCGATGCTCTTCCTGGCACAGCCCGGTGATCCTCCGGGGCAGCATGCCCCCATGTGGCCGGATGAACTGACTGAGCAACAGAACATCCTAGTGGAAACGGAAGACAGGAGAGGAGGATCGTGGGGATGGGTGCTGGCTGCCAGGGAGCCAGGGCCAAGTGGCCCGCAGGGCAGGCTGTTGTAGCTGGCACTGTAAGGGGCTGACGCCACCCTGAGAAGCGACCTGAGACCAACTCCCTCCACACACAGCTCTGCACTCAGGCCTGCTGCCTCCACCACAACAAGTTCAATCTCAACTTAGCAAGACTTCCTGGCCCCATTACCAACCCCAAGAGTTCTTAGCTCCTCTATGAGACAGTCTTCCAACAGACTTGGTGAGAGATTGGGAACTTTTCAAGAAGGTTAACAAGTTATCATGCACCCACAGTATCTCTCCTGGTGATGAAAAATGTGTTATCCTCTCTGGGTGACGTAGCGGGTATGTTATGTATTTACACACAAGAGGGAAGACCTGTACCATTTCCGCCCCCAAAGTCTACACACCATAGCCCAGAAGACTTGCAGAGAGCCCCTCCACCTTCTGCCATGCCCTCTGAACAAAGCGCCAGGCAGCAACAAGCTGAGGAGGATGAGATCAAGTTGTGAAGTTAAATCCCACATCTTCTACGCCCTCTGTGCCCAGATGTGAATGGATTCTTGGGCTTCCTTTGTACCATCAGACTGCTTTGGATGAATCAAGGAAATAATGATAAACAAAACCAGCATCCAGAAAGACCAAGTCCCCTCCCAACTCTCACAGGATGGCAGGGGTTAAAGAAAAAGTCTCCCACCCCACCCCCAGGGGCCTGACATGCCTGTCTTCACAGTCCTGGTCCTCAAATGGATTCGCTGCCCTGGCAGGCGCCACTGTTTATAACTGTAGATTTGCTTTAATCACTGGTCAGCTCCTGGGGGACCCAGGCCCCCAATTCCCACCCCTGTAATCCTCAGAATCTGATGAAAAGAACTTGGACTGGATTATCTGGGGATAATACACTGGGCTCACAGCGCCAATGCTGCCCCCGCTGCAGGCTGCCAAGGAGGCTGACAGCTCTCTGCAGCTCAGAGTGGCGCTGTCCTGAGCAGAAAGGGGTGAAAAGGAAAACAACTTCTCCAGCCTTTACCTTGGAGGGGATTGGATTTCTTCTGCTTGATAAACAGAGCCAAGTCCATTTCCTGGAAATGGCTGGTAGGAAGAGTACCCCGCAGTGGTCAGGCAGGTGTGGGTTCCCCTCCCCATCCACAGCTGGGATTCTAGGTATGCCCAGGACCCTGCTAACTTCCATGTCACAAGAAGCTGAGAGCACTGCCTGTGTCCTCCAAGTTCCCAAGCGGCCATCAGCAAAAGGGTGGGGATAGGGTGAAAGAATATCTCCACCCCCTACCCTGGGGTGGCATGAGGCCAAGGCTCCCAGCCCAGGAGATTAGTTGGGTTGTTCTGTTCAGATCCCATGGGCATGTGGCCTTTCCTGCTCTCACCACCTGACAGGGATCTCTGCCCTTAGTCATCCCATTCCACAGAGGGGCACAGGGACAAGGTGCAGGTCAAACTGGCCCAAAGCCTGAATCACCTGAAACCTAAAAATAGGGTGCTTAATGTTACCAGCAGAACTCTGAAGGACAAGTATGTATTTCTCCAGGGCTGTGTCCATCCCCCAGGCCTGCCCCATCTCTGCAACCCCAGATGCAGAATAGCAGCTGGGACTGGCGGCTCTGCCTGGGTTTCATACCCCCGAGTGCATCCCAGCTCTGATACTTACTAAGCTGTGTGATCTGAGGCAAGTGCATTTACTTAGCCATGCCTCAAATTGCCTCATCTGTAAAACAAGGATGAAAACAGTACTTCACCGGGATATTGTGAAAACAAAGTGAATTATGCCCCGCAGGTGCTTCACACACAGAGCAGCACCTACCGTTGTTTGCTCTCATTGTTTCTCCGTGAAACGACACGCTCTAGATGAGCTACAGCAAACGGGTCCCTGTAGCTCCAGTGTGGGAAGACAGTGACGTATCCTCAGATCACAGTGAGGACTCTCAAGACACGCCCTCATTACACAAGGAGGAAAACCAAACCCGGACTCTGAGTCCACCCCTCAGGAAAACAGCCCTACGAGACTGGGCTCCAGGGCCCTGGTGGTCTGAGCTGCCCGCAACCAGACCAGGAACTGAGTCAGGGACTCTCCGCCCTGGCGGCACATTAGAATCACCTGGGGAGCTTTAAAAAATAATGATGAAAAAAAAATTAAAAAAAATAAAAAATAATGATGGGCGGGCTCCATCCCAGGCCAGCGGAATCATCTAGGCGCGGGGTCTGAGCATTTTTAAAGCTCCCCCGGGACACTCATGTACGGCCAGCGTTGAGAGCCACTGGACACAATGCTTCTGTCTTGGTGGCTCCACGAGATGCCTGTTAAGCCTGTGGGGAGTGTGAGCTCTGAGATGCGCAGACTTACCTCATAGCTATACCTGTGCTTCAGGTTCCAGCGGCAGATGGGGCACTGGCCAGAGGGGTTGGGGGGATTTGGACTTTCTTTGGGAGTCCCTGTGATTCGGCCTTCAAGCTAGGAGGCAAAGAAAGAGAGCTGATGAGGGGGGAGAGTTGTGTGGAGACCCCGATCCTTGAGCAACCCCCAAAAGCTGGTGAGGTTTCCTCTTTAGGGGCCTCAGGGGAGCAGCTAATGGGCCTCTCTGCCTGAACACAGCTGCTGGACGCTGGGCCTCAGGTGGCCACAGAGCTGGGTTTGGTGACCTGTGAGGGTAATAGAAACTGAACTTAATGCTGGTGGCAAGAGGAGAGGTGTGTGGTATCTGCTGAAGGCTAGCTTTCCATCCTCAAAAAGACAAAAACTCCAGAACTTTATGCTTCCCTGTCCCTGCTTTGGGAAAAAGTAATCCATGCACATGGTAAAAAGTTTCAAACTGCACAGGGATGTGGAGTCCAAAGGAAGTCTCACCCCTATCCCGCATATCCTTCTTAGCAGAAACTGCAGTTTCCAGCTCTGACAGAGGTAAGTCTACGCCAGTGGTTCTCAACCAGGCATGATCTGGCCTCCCAGGGGACACCAGACAATGAAACATTTCTGATTGTCACCATGGGGGTGGGGCAGGGTGGGGATGGGTCCCTAGCCCCTAGCGGGGAAGCTGCTAATAAGCATCCTATGACAGACAGGACAGGCCCCCAGAGCAGAGAACCAGCCCGTCTAAAACGCCAACAGTGCTGGGCTGAGAAACCTGGTCTAGGCCTACATGAGCAGACCACTGTGTGCACGCCCCTCCTCCCCTCTACAAACAGAGAGTGGGGGACACAGTCCCCTGGCTGCCTCCTCTCAGCACTCTGGATGCCACCTTTCACACCCCGCTCAGGCCACGTGTGAAGTGACCTCCGCCATGCCTGCTGTGTCCTGTGACACAGCCTTGGAGAGACTAAGCGCAATAAAGCAGCGACCTGGGCGTCAGCTCCAATTGCAGGAGGGGGAGGTTAGACAGCCTTGCTGATTGAGGCCACGGATTATGAGTGAGGCTGGGCCAGGTCTGAGAGGCTTTAGGGGGAAGCAACTCTCCCAGGGAAGTAGTGGAAAAAGGCAAAGGAGCTGGCTGCGTAGGTGCTGTTACTGCCTTTCTGGCGATGCCACCCCAACGATGCCAGAAAAGGAGCCAAGCACTCAGGAAAACAGGCAGGGGGTCAAGGTGGGCCTGGGCGGGGAGAGCGAACATTTACACACTCGCCACTACAGGCCTGGCTCTGTGCTGATACTGGTCCACATAGATCATCTCATTTAACTCCACAGCCTAGTGAGGGCAGATTCATGATCTTATTTTACTGATGAAGAAGTCAGAGTCTGGACAGTGAGTAATACCCGAAGTCAGCCATGGCACTGCCTCTTGGGCATGGCCGGGCTCCCTCCCCAAGGGCTCTCATGGGACCACGTGCCTCTCTGTTCATTCCACAAACAGCAAATTCATGCCCCACAGGAAAAACACTCTGCACACACAGAAACCTGATGAGTTTCTCTCCACCAGCATGGAGTTTACAGGGTGAATGCTTGTTTCGGTTTTGGAAAAGGGAACTCTTCTTAAAGGGATGGGAGTCCCTAGAAAGAACTGTCTTGAGGTCTTAACCTCAAGTACAAAGGTTGAGGGGGAGTCTTCTGGGGTAGACCCCAAGGGGGAACCCTAAGGGCTTGTCCTGGGGACAAAAAGGCCTTGGGCAGGGCCACGCATGGCTAGCTGCCAGAGGGTTAAATCCCTGGTTGACATGGAAGTCACAGAGGCTTCTGGGAGCTCTGTGGAGTGGTTGAGGATTTCTTGGGAGGCACAGAAGGCCATGTGAAAACAACGTTGTCTTTTAGGGATTATAGGATAATCTAGGCCCCATGACTCCCTGAGGAAGGGAGGTGAGATGGGCCCAGTGAGGGTGGGGGGTGGGGGAGGAGTAGAGGGAGTGAAAAACCGTCTAGCTTTCTCACCAACAGATGAGCCAGGGCGCCAGCTATGAGCCCAGGGCCCAGAAAGTGTCACCTTCTCACTGCCTCACTGAAGGAGTAGCTTAGTCATTCTAGGCAGAAAGGAAAGAGACTGAGATCCAGGCTCCTGGCCTGGGGTCAACTTACTCTCTCTAGCCTTGCCATTACCTTAGTTTCCCCTTTGGAAAACTGACTTATCGCCCGCCAAAAAACATAGCAGAAAATACTTCTGAGCCCGTGTCATACAAAAGGCCACTTTAATCAAGTAACAGATGCCTCAGTCCAGCACAGCGACTGTTCCTGATTAACCACATTCCCGCACACGGGTTGAAAATAGTAGATGTGGGATTTATGGTCATGGAGGGAGCAGAACCTGAAGCCAGTCCAGTTGGGGCTCCCACCCTCTCTCAGAGGAGCAGCCAGGCAGCTCCAAGTGGTACAGAGGTTAGAAGTGGCCAGATCGACAATACTTACTATAGTCGTCTTCCCTTCTTGGATCTCCACCACTACAGAGATAAAGGGGAAAAATTAGGTCAGCCATTTAATAAGGAACAGGGAGTTTTAAATCATAGCTCAAACCTTACACACGAAGAAAAATGAAGCGCTCTGTCTGCACTCTCCCGTGGCCCCCACCCGGAAGTATGTAGGGTTTACCTCCCAGTGCCCAGGCTCTGTGCCCAGCAGGCTGTGCAGAGCGGTGCTAAGTAGATTCAGTTGTGTCCAACTCTTTGCAACCCATGGACTGTTGCCCACCAGGCTCCTCTGTCCATGGGATTCTCCAGGCAAGAATACTGGAGTGGCTTGCCATTTCTCCTCCAGGGGATCTTCCCAACGCAGGGATTGAACCCAAGTCTCCTGTGGCTCCTACACTGCAGGCAGACTCTTTAATGCTGAGCTACTGGGGAAGCCCATAACATAAGGGTTCCTGCAAAGCAGGAGACCCCGGTTTGATTCCTGGGTTGGGAAGATCCGCTGGAGAAGGGATAGGCTGCCCACTCCAGTATCCTTGGGCTTCCCTGGTGGCTCAGCTGGTAAACAATCTGCCTGCAGTGCAGGAGACCTGGTTTCGATCCCTGGGTTGGGAAGATCCCCTAGAGAAGGGAAAGGCTACCCACTCCAGTATTCTGGCCTGAAGAATTCCATGGACTCTATAGTCCACAGGGTCGCAAAGAGTCAGACACAACTAGCGACTTGCACTTTCACTTTTCCTGCAGGCTGGGTGGGGGGCAAATCCAGATGCCCATATCATATCACCTCTCTGAGATTAAGGGTCTTCACACTGTTTCTGCCTTTCTAAGCCAAGATTTATCTTGGTCCCATCCAAGGTACTTGGCAAGATCTTGCCCTACTGTGGCTAGCAATCATGGCCTAAGAGCTGAGGGGTTGGGGGTGGACAGAGGCCATAAAAAGACCTTCAAAAGTACCCACTGTATGTGTTCTTTCATGAAGAGAAATCAGACAAATGTGGTTCCTGACCTTGACCAGTCTGCAATCTAAGATGCAGCACCCAGGGGTGCTGCATTACCCACAATGGGTAATAATGAGATCAGTTAACTCTGAGAACATCTTGAGAACCTTGCGTTAAACCCGTACAAAGGCAGCTATCTCTCCTCCCTGCAGGGATGCATTTTGTTATACACACTGGAGAGGGAAGAGTGACAGGAACGAGGGGCCTGCAGGTATGGGGTTGGTGTCGGGGCACAATTTCAAAGAGAGGACTGCAGAGCCATCTGGAGGACTCCCTCAGCTCTTCGCCTATTTAAGAGTGAGGCAGTCAGAAAAGAACCTGAGGGCAAAACAATTTCATTGCATACATGTCAGGCTGTACTTATGTCCTCTTATTTAACCAGGATTCAGAAAGACCACTTCAACAATATCCTAAGGGAGAACCAAGCTCATAACCCACATTTGGCAAATAAAATCAAACAGAAGGTTCTTGGATCCTGTCCCATGGTCGCCCAGTTTCTTTAGAAAGAGAGAAGCCGTGGCTTTTAGCATAGGAATTGGCACACCACAGATGCTCCATAAACTCTAGGGAGCAAAATCCTGGTTGTGATGCCCTTCTGACTGCTAATTACCATAACAGAAAATGTGAGTGCACACAGCTATAGATAGGCTGCAAATTGTCTCCCCAAATGGTAAAACTATATTTTAACAGCAGCTTGGCTACCGCAATTAGTTCTACTCAGCTCCAGTCAAGGAAAGAAGCAGTAGAGATTAGAAAGAACCTAAGGTTAACTTTGTGAATCTAATGAAAGTTACGGACCTCGCCCTAGAAACACGTCCCTCGGTGTACACACAATTAGACATGGATTACAGGAAGCTCACAGACCCCTGCAGCTGTGTACCTAAATGGTAAGACTGGTTTTCCCTCAGCGGTGGCAGGAGGTGATTTTCTAAAGTTTCTAAAATAAACATGTACTGCTTTTGCAATAAAAAATAAGCAATAAAAACAGAGAAGCTAAGAAAAAAAAGTGAGGCAACTCGAACCCACCCGGAGGCCCAGGGCAGCATCTGTGATCACTGAGCTCTGTGACTGACACCAAACTGGGCCCAGACTGCCTGGAACTGTCCCCCACTCGTTTTCTGGGCACGGCCATTCATAAAGACCCATTACTCCAAACAACCAACCTGAAAGCCCCTCAACTGCGACTCCACACACACAAGGGAGCGACAACTGGCCAGAAAGGCCCTGAGGCTTTCTCTAGAGAACACTATAGTTATTAATCAACTCAAAGACAAACTAAGCTTCTCTCCCTAAGAGAAAATGCGTCACCCCACGCACGGATCTACTTGTTCCCAAGAGACCAGCCTAAACGGGATGTGGGTGAGACTCAACCTGGTACTCAGTCTGGAGGCCAGCACATCTGCCGGGGGATGGTCACTGTGCTGCGTCAGCTTACAAGAGCACTGGGGCAGGAGGGCCGAGCCCTAGCCCAGCTGGGCACCCAGGAAACTGCAAATTTGCAAAAACCAAGTTGGAAGAGGGACGGAGGGTGACCCAGTCTGAGTAACGGCAGGTGAGGGGGGCAGCACAGGTTTTTAAGAATCACGATTGCAAACAAAAGGAGAGACCTTCTCCGGAGTCACTTAGGTTGGCGTGAGATCAGCGCCCTGAAGTGAAGCAGACCAACATGTGCTTCCCCTCTCCGTGGAGGCACTTGGGTCCTAACCATGAGGTAAACAAGTCTAGCAAAACACACATTACTCCCGGCAAAGAACCAAACCCTGAAGTCATCCCACTGGCCCCTGGAAGAGAGATCAAAGTCTGTGGCAAGCTCCACTGTTCATAAGCTCCCCACACAGCAACTCTGAGCCAATGAATCATCTCACTATAAGTTATCAGGTAAAACAATAGGCAGATGCTTATCTCATAGAGACGATTTGTCAAACGAGGAGGAATGACTTGAGAACTCATATCGAACTGAGACTGATCAGGGCAGTCTCTCAGTGCAGGGGCAGAGGGCCCACTGGAGCCTGAAGAGGCCCTAGTAGATTTCAGGCCTCTCAAAACAGAGATAGGAATCAAAATAGTATTGCTTTTCAGCATGCATACAAAAACATGTCAAAACCAAACAAAACCTGAGATCCATTTTGTCCCTGGCCTCCTCTCCATTCAAGAGAAGTGGGGGGTGGTTAAGAAAAGCGGGACTAACAGGAGACCATTAGTCACTAACTGAAAACTTGTTTAGAAAAAGATGGAATTGCCCTTGTGTTCTGAGATGTGGCTGGATCAAGTAAACTAAAGAAGCAGTTTTCTAAACCAAGATTAAGGGCCAGGATCTTACACATCAAATAATCTGTGCCACAGGAGGCAAGGCATTTGCTGAGCAACTGTGGAGTGTATGACTGGGCTCCACCCACTGTGGAGAGCTCTCCGCTAAAAGGAGACACAGTCTTTGCCCTAGAGGAGAAAAGAGAACTAAACCAAGCATGGGAATTTCACTCTAATAAAGTCCATGCCTCGTAAAGAGGTCCTTTGAGTACTTCAGTAAATACTCGCCTAGGATGGAGTCCAAGATAACTGAATTGTAAGTCTAGAGCAAACAGCGTCGCGGTGAGATTGCAGTGAGGCAAAAAGACCTCAATGGCCACACAAACAGACACAGAGAACTGTGGTGGGATAAAGGCCCAACTGTTTAGCAAAGGAGGAAGTGAGGGGAGATGAATGACAAGGGCTGGAGGGAACTGCTGCAGGAAGTGCCCAGAGGACCGACGTCCTTCTTGGAAAGGCTCCATGGAAATCAAGTCTCAAGCAGAGCATGAAGGGATGGAGTAGCTGAATGGCAAGGTGGCTCCAGGGCAGCACCAACAATCCTACACAGCATGCTTGGCAAGTGTGCCATTGGCTACTTTTCTCAAACTCCTTCCTCCCTCAAGCACTGCTCCCTTCCGTTCATCTCTAACTCTGTCACAAAAGTTTTCTGATTCTCTCACCACCTACCCCTTCCTTTTCCTTTGGACCTGAGGGAATTCCCTCTGCACTATCCTTCAAAGGAGGAGTCTCACTGCTACACAAAAATCTCTTTCCACTAGAAGGTTACTCTGGACCATGTCTTTTGAATTCTTTAAAGCCCCCAACTTGCTCACTTCTACCTCAAAGCTTTTAGTTACAGGGCTGTCCATCCTGCAAGGCATATCCTTGTCTGAAATGCTAGGTCCTCTAGAAAGCTCCCTTAGCTAACTGGAAAAGAAGAAAAACATTCCCTTCAGCCTTTACTTGTTTCAACACACTCTGCTCTGAGGATCTGCCAGATCATTATTGTTCATTTAGAAAGTCATATGTGTTTATTACTCTTGTTTTAAATGCTTTCCTTCACAAGGGCTTTAAGAGTGACAAGGCAGGAACAAGGTCTAATCTCTGCTAGGTCTGACGGTGTCAATCATGAAATCAACTCCAGCAAGTTAACCGACAAAAGCTTTTAGGGAGGGGAGGGAACCACGGGGAAGCCCTACCACGGAGTACCAAGGTGGTGTCACTAGTGAAGAGGGAAACTGCTGGCCTTACTTCTGACTCCAGCATTTACTAGCTGTGCGATGCTGGGCACAGCTACTGAACACCTCTGGACCAGATTTCTTCATTTGTAAAAATGCCAGTAATATCCACCTTTAAGGTTGCTGAGAAGACTGAAAAGTGTATGTGGAAAACCTGGCAGAGTGCTTGCAGCACTTAGTAAACCACAATTTCCATTTTTTGCTTTCCTTTAAGTCTTGCTTCTTCCATAATCATCTTTTTTGGTTCTGTATGTCCCTCTGGTCAAAGATCAGACCAGGCTTTCCCAACAGCAGCAGGACTAGTATTTCAGGCCAGGTGGTTCTTTGTTGTGGGGGGTGCTGTCCTGTACACAGGAAGATGCTTACAGCTTCCCTGGCTTCTACCACCACACACACACCAGGAGCACCAGCTGTGACGACCAAAAATGTCTCTGGACGTTGCCAAGTGTTCCTGAGAGAACAAACTGCCCTTGACTGAGAATCACTGCTTCATACAGAGAGCTTCTATAGACAGGAGCAGTAGCGCTGAGTGCCCACGAACTCTGACTAAAATTAAACAGTACTATCGTATCAGAAAAGTAGAAATGCTTGAATGTTTTCAGCAAGACGCCAGCTCCCTCTCTGTGACTTTAAATTCTATGTATACAATATTATTCCTCAAATATACCAGCCAGGACCAGTCAAAATTAGCTGTATATGTAGTTCTTTAAGCTTTACACATAATGAATAGAATATCAAGAGAAAGTTGCTGGTGCTGTTTTTAATTTAAAGGCTTTGGAGATAGGTGGTTCTCAAGAAAAGTACAAGCTGATGCCTTCAAGTAAGATCACATCAATTCAATTATTTGGCTTTTAGGTCTGACAGTAACACAGAGAAGCTACTGGGTATTCATGGTGAGGAAGACTTCAAATATTCATCTCATCATACAGCCATCTCTCCAACTGAAAAATTCAAATCTCAAATATTCCTTTGTAAAAAAACAAAACTATTCCTTTTGCCTATCCTCTGGGAACATGGCAAAGAACTGTTTTCAACTTTTAATTTCGTAATGGATATGTGCATTGTAGTTGTTAATGTTTGACACTTGGTAGATGACACCAAAAATGTTACAGGCAAGGAATTCCCTGATGGCTCAGTGTTTAGGACTCTGTGCTTTCACTGCAAGGAATCCAAGTTTGATCCCTGATTGGGGAACTAAGATCCCACAAGCCAAGTGGCATGGCCAAAAAAAAAAAAAAAAGTTATGGGCATATGCCCATTTTACAGCATAGGAACACATGAAACAACTTTCCAAGTCCTTGTTACCATCAGCATGATCTCTTTGGTGTCTTTCTTTATCAATGCATTAGTTCATCTAACGCTAAAGAGGCAGTACCTGGATTTTGTTTTTCTTTCTAGCAAATGTTCCATCTTCCCTTCATAGCTAAATTCTCCAAACACCTATTTCCATTTCTTCATTAATTATTTCTTTATTTTCCCAAACTGGGTTCCTTATCTGCCATTCTACTGAAAACTTACAGAAGACTTTTTCTGAGACAAATCCAATGCTCCCCTTGTTAGGCTCTTTTTTTTTTTTGACTTTTATGCTTCCCCTGGCAAAACGATCATTCTTTTTCCCTGGATACATCTCAGCTTTAGTTAAAGGATATGCTACTCCAGATCTTAAACACACACACACACACACAAAACCACTTCTTTGCACATCACTTATCCTTTCCTGCTTCCAGCATTGCACAAAGGAAGGTTATGTACTGAAAAGACCTTTTCATTTTCCACCAGATTCCATCCTTTTATGAGCCTATTAAAGACACACCCCCTTCAGGAAAACTTCCAATTCAGTTTGCTGTTTCCAGTAACCAAATCTCTCTGAACATGTGCTTAGTCGCTAAGTCATGTCCCTCTCTTTTAGGATCCCGTGGGCTGTAGCCCACCAGGCTCCTCTGTGCATAGGATTTTTCAGGCAAGAATACTGGAGCGGGTTGCCATTTCCTTCTCCAGGGAATCGTCCCAGACCCGGGGATCAAACCCGTGTCTCCTGCATTGCAGGATTCTTCACCCGCTGAGCCACTGAGGAAGCCCCAAACACCTAAAACCTAAATTGTATTCATTGGAGAGTACTGCATCATCTCATTAGAACCTAACTACTCAGGAACCCCTTGACAGTTTGGAGTATAGCACTTCGCCTTCAGTAAGCTCTCAGTTCAATGTCAGGCTGCCTTTCCAGACTTAATGAAAAGCAAAACCACTATCCAGGATATGTCTGTTTCAGCTGTTCAATGGCCTTTCCACCTTAGCTTCCACCTCTTGGACTAAGGGTTCCGGCAGTGAAAGCTGCCATCAGATTATACCATTTCAGATGAGAAACTGGAAAAGGAGGCCCAGGGGAGGGTATCCAGCTGACCTTCCCTGATCGCGCAGTAATTTTTTAGTGGAGGAGGCGGTTCGAAGAATATGGAATAGAGAATTAACATCCAGTGCCTGCGTGCGTGGGTGCTAAGTCGCTTCAGTTGTGTCCGACTCTTTGTGACCCTATGGACTGTAGCGTACCAGGCTCCTCTGTCCAAAGTATTCTCCAGGCAAGAGTACTGGAGTGAACTGCCATACCTTCCTCCAGGGGATCTTCCCGATCCAGGGATCGAACCCATGTCTCTTATATCTCTTGAATTGCCAGGCCCTTAACAAAAAACTTCTGAACCCTAGGACAAGTTTCTATTCTGCTCCTAAATAAGCAAGCTTTCTCTCCGATCTTCATCCCCCTCGCCCCCCTCCCCGCCACCACCCATGAGGACACTCACGATGAATGAAAGATCAAGGTAACAGAATCAGGGTCTGGAAGAATACTGCTAGCATTCCTCGAGTGCAAACATCTCCGACGTTTCAGAATCGCGCGAAGGAAAGGGAGGGAGGGGCGCGTGGGGGCAGAAAGAAGCAGCCTTCGTTTCTTCTCTTCAACCCTAGGAGGTCACCAGGACCCAGCACTCACCTTCCCTGAACGCGCGGGCTGGTGGCCTAGCCCAGTTGGTCACGGTCGGGCCTGTCAGCAGCCCTCTGAGAAACCGTCCGCAGCCGGACAACAGCACATTGAGGGCCGCCATCTTGAAAACTATCGCTGACCTCTTGTGCACTTCCGCTTCCGGAACGGCGCGCGCACGCGCGCGCAGCCGCAGTAGTGGGCAGGAAGAGTGCGTCTTGTGAGTGTCCAGCTCCGTTACTCTTGTCAGTTACTTCGATTTCCTCACGTCTCCAGCTCTGAGCAAAGCAGAGTTAACGTGTGAAGACTGTGCTTCATTCTGAGATGCTGGGGAGGTCTTTATCTCCTGTCTGCTAGTCCTCGAAGTCTCCAGGGTCGCTTTCGTTCCCTGGCGGACTTCAGTAAAATTACACGCACTATCCTTATTTCTTTAAAACTTTTTGTTTACAAGTGAGATGTGGATTTTCAGCTTCTTGAGGCTGCGGCTAAGTCTGTACCAGAGAAGTTGAAATGGTTAGGACAATGATTCTGGAACATCAGGTAACCCACAGATCTGGGATAGAATTAATACTCGTGTGCCAACCCCACCCCACCGCCGCCCCCACAGTCCCCAAGCTGCGCTGCCCTCACCAAGGGGTCCTTCATTCTGGTAATTTGACGCTGACCTTTTGCCCCAAATCTTGAAAGATGATGCTGTGAAAATGCTGCACTCAATATGTCAGCAAATTTGGAAAACTCAGCAGTGGCCACAGGACTGGAAAAGGTCAGTGTTCATTCCAATCCCAAAGAAAGGCAGTGCGAAAGAATGCTCAAACTACCGCACAATTGCACTCATCTCACACACTAGTAAAGTAATCCTTAAAATTTTCCAAGCCAGGCTTCAGCAATATGTGAACCGTGAACTTCCAGATGTTCAAGCTGGTTTTGGAAAAGGCAGAGGAACCAGAGATCAAATTGTAAATATCCACTGGGTCATTGAAAAAGCAAGAGAGTTCCAGAAAAAAAAAAATCTATTTCTGCTTTATTGACTATGCCAAAGCCTTTGACTGTGTGGATCACAATAAACTATGGAAAATTCTGAAGGAGATGGGCATACCAGACCACCTGACCTGCTTCTTGAGAAATCTGTACACAGGTCAGGAAGCAACAGTTAGAACTGGACATGGAACAACAGACTGGTTCCAAATAGGAAAAGGAGTATGTCAAGGCTGTATATTGTCACCCTGCTTATTTAACTTCTATGCAGAGTACATCATGAGAAACACTGGGCTGGAGGAAGCACAAGCTGGAATCAAGATTGCCGGGAGAAATATCAATAACCTCACATATGCAGATGACACCACTCCTATGGCAGAAAGTGAAGAAGAACTAAAGAGCCTCGTGATGAAAGTGAAAGAGGAGAGTGAAAAAGTTGGCTTAAAGCTAACTTTTAACATTAGAAAACTAAGATCATGGCATCCGGTCCCATCACTTCATGGCAAATAGATGGGGAAACAGTGGAAACAGTGGCTGACTTTATTTTTCTGGGCTCCAAAATAACTGCAGATGGTGACTGCAGCCATGAAATTAAAAGATGCTTACTCCTTGGAAGGAAAGTTATGACCAACCTAGATAGCATATTAAAAAGCAGGGACATTACTTTGTCAACAAAGGTCCATCTAATCAAGGCTATGGTTTTTCCAGTGGGACATTACTTTGTCAACAAAGGTCCATCTAATCAAGGCTATGGTTTTTCCAGTGGTCATGTATGGATGTGAGAGTTGGACTATAAAGAAAGCTGAGCACTGAAGAATTGATGCTTTTGACCTGTGGTGTTGGAGAAGACTCTTGAGAGTCCCTTGGACTGCAAGGAGATCCAACCAGTCCGTCCTAAAGGAGATCAGTCTTGGGTGTTCATTGGAAGGACTTATGTTGAAGCTGAAACTCCAATACTTTGGCCACCTGATGAGAAAGGTGACTCATTTGAAAAGACCCTGATGCTGGGAAAGATTGGGGGCAGGAGGAGAAGGGGATAACAGAGGATGAGATGGTTAGATGGCATCACTGACTCAATGGACATGAGTTTGAGTAAACTCCCGGAGTTGGTGATGGACAGGGAGGCCTGGCATGCTGCGGTTCGTGGGATCGCAAAGAGTTGGACATGACTGAGCGACTGAACTGAACCAAATTAAAGCTTATTTCTCAGGGCTCAGCTCAAACTTCACTTCCACATTAGTCTTCCTTAACCTCCCTGTTACTGGTTCTCAGCACCAGATATCTCTCCATCTTAGTTGTTGTTTTCTTAGTTAAGTCATGTCTGACTGTTTTGACAACGTGGACTGTAGTCTGCCAGGTTACTCTGTCCATGGGATCACCCAGGCAAGAATACTGGAATGGGTTGCTGTTTTCTTCTCCAGGGGACCTTCCCAGACGGGATTAACAGGTTGATTCTTTACCACCAAGCCACCAGGAAATGCCCTCCATCTTAGTACCCTGTTCAATTACAGTTTTGTATCAGTTTGTGTAACATGTGTCTCCCCACCAAACTGTAAGCTCCATGAAGGCAAGGACATTGGTTTTGTTGTTGACTCTCATGTCTCCAGCATTTAGTACAGTGCTTGACACATAATGAGTGCAATATATATTTGTTGAGTGAATAAGTAGGACCTATTTTCTATGGCTTTTGTGAAGATTAGATGAGATAAAACATAAGTGTTTAATAACCATAATTTATTAATAAGGCAGTTAATGAGATGACCATGTGCTAGGTACTTTTCACAACTTTGACATACTTGTCTAATGACGAAACTTATAGTACCAAAAAGTAAGCTCAGTTTTCTATCTTTTGGATTTGCAGGATGAGCAGAATATTCCTCTAGAACTATATAAGAAAGGAAAGTCATTCACACCTCAGTTCTTCCACATGGTGGTTAGGATATTATTTTCCACATTTGAAGGGGGAATTTCTAGTTATCCTAGTCTGATTCATACATGGGGAAATAAGGCTTATTAAAAGGCAGAGCACGCTCTCTGATGAGGGGAGGGAAGGAGTCAGTCTTCCAGTTGGGACTGTCACGTTGGTGGACTAAGACGATGCAGAGCACCTGCTGTATGGGGTACTTGAGTGGTATCAACTAAGAGGAAAGAAAGAAAAATGTGGCACTGGGTTTCCTTAAAATGTCACATTCAGGAAAGACAGGTCCCAGTAAGGGGGAACTTGAGAGAATGGTCAATCTAGGAGGTGAGACAGACACATGGATTAGGAGTGGAGCAGAGAGTTGGTGGTGTGTATGTCTAGGTGTTCTAGTCAGGGCAGGAAGTCCTCAGCTGTCCTGGTAGCTTTTACTTTCCTTCTGTACACCCTTCCTGATTGTACCACACCCCATGTTTCTTTACGAGTCCCCAGCTTCTGGAGATCAACTGGGACCAAGGCAGTAACAGAGCCCCATCCAGGGTTTGTTTTGGACACAGTGATTCAAAAGATTTGAATGTTAACCCTCTCTTTGTTATCATATCCTAATTTAATCAAAGTTTATTTTAAAAAAAACTTGTATTTTCTACAATAAGTAACGTGATCATTGTAAAAAAAAAAAGAAACAATGAAGAAAAAATAAATAGCCATAATCCAGACATAAGCATTATTTGCATTCAGCAAAATGAAATAATACTGTGTGTTTTCTTTGTCTTCTTTTTTTGATTAATCTTTGGCTGCACTGGATCTCTGTTTCTTGTTGAGTGGGCTATTCTTTAGTTTCAGTGAATGGGGTCTAATCTTTATTGTGGTATGAGGGCTTCTCATTGTGGTGGCTTCTCTTGTTGCGAAGCACAGGCTCTAAGCACACAGGCTCAGCAGTTTTGGCACATGGGCTTAGTTGCTCCTTGGCATATGGAATCTTCCCAGAGTAGAAATCAAACCTGTGTCCTCTACATTGGCAGGCAGATTGTTATCTACTGCACCACCATGGAAGTCCATATTTATTTATTTCACTGTGCTGGGTCTTAGTTGCTGGATGTGGAATCTAGTTCCCTGACCAGGGATTGAACCTGGGCTTCCTGCATTGGGAGCACAAAGTCTTAACTACTAGACCACCAGGGAAGTCCCTTATTTTTTGTGAATCCATTTGTAATTAGTCTCTATGTGAAAAAAGAATTTTGTGAGACCAGATTTTGCTAAGAGACTAGACTTTACCTAAAAGAAGTTGTTATTGAAGAAAGTATACAAGTTATCGGTGTACAACTGATGAATTTCCACAAAGAGAACACATTACCCACACCAACAAGTAGAACATTACTAGCACTCCCCTAGTGTCCCCTTCCAGATACTACCCCCCAAGGTAATCATTATCCTGACTTTTAACACCATAAATTTTTTTCCCTTGCATTTGAACTTTATGGAAATTGAATCTCATGTAGCATGTACTCTTTTCCATCTACTTTCATCTGCTCACCAATGTCAGGTTTGTGAGATTCACCCACATTTTTATTATACATTGTCATCATTCATTCTCATTTCATATAATGCTCCATTGTGATTATACTATAATTTACTTATCCTTTCTTTTGTTGATAGGATTTAGATAATTTCCAGTTGGGACTGATACAAATAATGCTGTGATACACATTCTTCTATATGATTTTTGGTGAATACAAGAGCAAACCTCTCCAGGATATATCTAGGAATGGAACTTTTGGCTTATAGGGTATGTGTATACTCATCTTAAGTAGATTCTGTCGAACAGTTTTTTAAGTTAAATTAATTTTTAAAAGTTTAGGCTGTGCTGGCTCTTTGTTGCTTTGCAAGGGGTTTCTCTGGTTGGTGGCGAGCAGGGGAACTCTTCATTGAGGTGCTCAGGCTTCTCATTGGGGTGGCTCCCCTTGTTGCAGAGCACAGGCTCTAGGCACATGGACTTCAGTAGTTGTGGCACATAAACTCAGTAGCTGAGGCTCAAGCGCTCAGTTTTTCTTTGGCATGTGGAATCTTCCCTGACCAGGGATTAAACCCATGTCTCCTGCACTGACAGGTGGATTCTTATCCACTGCGTCACTAGGGAAGTCCAAACAGTTTTCCATAGTAGTTTTACTGATTATGGTTGTTCCACTTCCTTATCAATATTTGATTTTTTTTTTTGTACTTTTCATCTTGGC